TGGTCCATTTGAGAGATAGGTGGCAGTAATGCACTTATAAGTCTGCGATCCGCCATAAAGCAAGAAGAAGAAGAAGAAGACACGTCACGCGCCGGCTGTTGAGGACGCGCTCAGGACAGTTCAGACATTGCAGTGCATCAGAGGTAAAAAACGATATAAATACTGTTCAGTTTCTTTCACAGACCAATCGTTTCGTGTCTTTACACATCAATGTGTCGTCACGGGCCGCAGGGTTTAATTTGGTTTTGTTTGTGTATGTTTTTTGACTCTCAAAGCCGTGATTCCCATTCACTTGCATTATATGACTGACAGACTGCAACGGTTTGGGTTAAAAATCTCCGTTTGTGTTCTACTGAAGAAACAAAGTCACCTACATCTTGGATGCCCTGCGGGTAAGCAGATAAACATCACATTTTCATTTTTGGGTGAACTATCCCTTTAAGGAATGTGAACTCGTGGGCTCGTTTTTGGAATGTTTATTATTTAATCCTCTAAGATCCAAATGGGAACTAATAGAATCCTCTAGAATTCAAATAAGATCCTACTGGATGAATTGAAATTCCTACTGGATTTTCAAATTCTCTTTGATACCTAGACATTTATTAAATATCGAACATTATTTAACGAAGACGTCTAACTAGACAGTTAAAGGACATCACAGGAGAGCTGAAGGAATTTTAAAACCACAAAATATTTTACATTCTTTTTAAAGTCTTAAAGGTGTCTAATATTTTGGTCATCATCCTAGTCTTATTGGAAACTATTGTACATCCCAAAGTCTGGGGTCAGTAAGATTTTATTTATTTATTTTAATTAGCGTGGGGGGATTCAATTGTTCGAACGTGACAGTAATGACATTAATAATGTCACAAACACTTTCTATTTCAAATAAATGCTGTTCTTTTGAACTTTCTATTCATTTGTGAATCTTGAAAAATAAAATGCATCTCAGTTTCCACAGAAATATTGTGCAGCACAACTGTTTTCAACACTGATAATAATCAGAAATGTTTCTTGAGCAGCATATTATACTGATTTCTGAAGATCATGTGACACTGAAGACTGGAGGAATGATGCTGAAAATACAGCTGCGCATCACAGGAATACATTACAGTTTAATATAGATTCACATAGCAAAAAGCTATTTAAAATTACAATAATATTTCACAATTTTACTGTATTTTTGATCAAATAAATGCAGCTTTGCTGAGCACAAGAGCCATTCAAATATATATTTTTTAAAACATTAAAAATCTTACCAACCCCAAACCTTTAAACTGTAGTTGGAATTCAAAAAGAAAATTCTCAATAAGCCCCTGTATTTTATATATATATATATATATATGTGTGTGTGCGCACATTCCTTCCTCTCTTTCACTCACTCTGTCATCGACCAGCAGCTCCATTTCCCCGCTCAAATAAATGCTGTTCTATTTTAATGTTCTTTTCATCAAAGAATCCTTAAAAGAAAAGTATAATGGTTTCCACAAAAATTTGAACAAGCACAACTGGTGACACTGAAGACTGGAGTAATGATGCTGAAAATTCAGCAATGCATCACAGGAATATATTACCTTTTAAAATATATTCAAATAGAAAACAGTTATTTTAAATTGTAATATTTTTTCACAATATTACTATTTTTACTGTATTTTTGATCAAAAATAAATGCTGTCTTGGTGAAGATATAACTTTTTTTAAAACATTAAAAATCTTACCAACCCCAAACCTTTAAACTGTAGTTGGAATTCAAAAAGAAAATTCTCAATAAGCCCCTGTATTTTATATATATATATATATATATGTGTGTGTGCGCACATTCCTTCCTCTCTTTCACTCACTCTGTCATCGACCAGCAGCTCCATGGGGTTGTTTCCCCACTCGATGAGCACCAGCTCGTTGGCCTGTCCGGGCACGGAGTAGGAGAAGGGGGTCCCGAGCCCCGCCCCGATGCCAGCCTTCATCCACAGACACAGCGTGAAGGAGAAGATCTCGTGCAGCAGCGAGCGCTTCACACGACCGTACATGTAGTTGGTTCTCATGGGGAAGCCGATCTGGAAAGCTTCCGTGGGTTTGCTCTTCTTTCCAGATCCTGCAGAGATGATAACCACACTGTAAATGATTTCTGTTGTTTACGCAGTATTATACTGTTTATCTAAACAGTTTCTTGCTGTATAAGCTGTGTACAGTGTGTTACTGTAGATTTTGTTGTTTTCACAGTATTATATTGTATTCTCAACAGTTGAGTACTGTGTACACGGTTGACAGTATGTTACTGTAGATTTTCAATGCATTCTGGGAAATTATCAGTTACTGTAAATCTAAATACAGCAGTGCAAATTGACCCGAAAAACACCACACAGAATTTCGCAGGCAAAATTGCTATTCCTACATACAAAAAATTCAGGACTTTCTTCATAAAAGACCCAAACTTGTCATTTATTTTCTCTTTTCTCCATGGCATAATGTCATGTATAATTGCAGCCCATGTGGTTGATGACAAAGAATGGAATTTATTTTCTGTCTCTTTGTGTAATTTTGTATCAAAATGGTACAAAATTATTGTATTTAAACTATGTGATAAACGAGTTAGATAAGAAATAATCAAAAACTACTCTTAAATAAGTAATGAATGTAATTTGTAATCGGTAACACACTGTAAAAAATGACCGTGAATTTAACGGTAAAACACTGTAAAAATGCTACAGTAAAAACCTGTTAAATGGTTAACGGTAAGTTCCCCTACTATATACGGTGAAAAACTGTATTGGACATTACATGTATTGGACATAAATTTTACGGTAGTATACCGTTTTTGGAAGTGA